AATAAATTTTGTCAGATAATTCCAAATATAACCTCATTAAACTAACATAATATATAAAAACCAATGTTCTAAAATACGCTATATGCTAGCCGGGTGGTGGACCACCGTATAGCGTATAGACGTATACGCGGACGTTTATGCGGGGTATATACGGTAGATATGTTTGCATATTTATGCATATATATACAAAAATATTTTGTTTTAGTAGGTAATAAAAAAAATATTATCATGAATTCTATAAAAAAAACTTAAATAATTAACATTAACATGGTAGTTTTAATTCAAATAGTAAAATAACATAGTTGAAAATTATTTTAAATAACAAAAAATAGAATTATATCAATTATACTTTTGGAAAAAAGTCAAAAACATAGTTTGATTTGAATTTTTTGAAAAATATACTTGTTAAAACTGTATATTTGATAATTTAGTTATCGTATATAAAAAGATAATTTTTTTTCATTTAAAAATACATATAGCATAAATACGGTACGGCCAGCCACTGTATAGTGCCTGGACGCTGTATATGCGGGCGCCTAGACCGTATTTTAGAACAGTGATAAAAACTGAAATCACTAAATATTTTTTTAAAATTCCAAAACTCACGTCTAAGAATATTTCAAAAGTCACTTTTCACAATTTGGAGTAGATTACATTTATCTTTCCAACATAGTTAACAAACATATACAGAACAAAACTTGAACTATTTAAAGTCTTACGAGTATTCTCATTGTTTGTAGGTGAAAAACTAGCCATGGAAGATGATCAACTGTTAACATTCCATGGTAATATATAGAAATGTTGAAAGTTTTGAATTTGAGTATTTGCCTCCATAAGTTTTGCCTCAGTTGTTGCATTCACGTGAAAATTTTCTAATTCCCTCCAATTATATTTTTATAGTTAACAATCAAAATAAATATATTTAATTTATTGAAAGCTGTTAATTATACATTGAATGGAGAAGAATACTAAGAGGCTACGATTACGATGATTGAAAGAGAAATGAAAACAAATGCAGTATAATTGAATTGTAATTTGATGTTATTTGTGAGGTTAAATTAGTGAAATTACAATGATCTTAATCTACGTAAAACAAACTAAACTGACATGTATTTCCAAACGGAGGGAGTAATTTTTAATGTTTGAAACTGGTCATTGAATCATATAACACAAGATAAAATATCTCAATGAAACAAGGAAAATCTATTTTACAGCATTTGACAATATATTACACCAAAAGTGTGGTGATCTAGTGGTAACACAAGGGAGTGGTTCTCTTGTACCCCGGGTTCAAATCCCCTTTAGTACGGAGGGTTATTCTTTAAATCAAAATATCCAAAGATTGACTCCGAGTACCGAAAACATTATGAATCAAAAGTTCGAAATTCCACGGTTTATATATAAAAAAGACATTATATTACGAAATAATATAAAGCTAGGGACAAATCAATTATGATTTCAAACTATTTGGCAGAATTCTTCATATATGTAAAAGAAAACTATTTGGCAGTGCAAATAATAATGTAATAACAAATTAAGAAGAGGACAGGGAAAATGCAGTAAAGATTTCCGTTGTATTTGGTAGGAATTGCAACAACGAGTCTCATCATCCTCCACATCTTTTTTTTTTGGTTCTTTCTCTTTTCTCTCATTTTATTTGGTTTTAGGTAACTTTTTTTTTAACATTTAGTAAAGGAACAAGGATTTTTGTTTATTTTGCCAAAATAGGAACACAAAAGTGTACGAAAAAACAAATGTGAGATTGGATTCTCTGAGTGAAAAATAAAATAAAAGATTTTTCTCTTTTGTTGGTCGGTCTATGGAAAGATCAAAATATCAACATGCAAGTGAGATTTGACAACATTACCGTTGAAACAAATTCTCAAATATTATTTACTATATTATAGAAACATAATAATTGATATATAAGAAAGAACAAGTCATACATGTTTTAACTACCAATTTTGTGGAAATATTAATCCAAAATATATAAATAACAACATTCAATTTCAAATAAACAAAAAGTATTGAATGTAACAATAACATCAAACCAAATTGAAAATGTAAATCTATCAAAGAAAGAAAAAAACTCGAAAATGTATGACAAAACTGAACAGTGAACAAAAAAGGAAAAACTGATCCACTCGTGGGTTCTTGCCGGATTGTAGGTTTCGAGCATATTTAAGTGAATCATTTCTCAATTATGGGGTTTAAGGTATATTTAGATCGAGTTACTGACTAAACTACAGATTTATCAGTCCAACTAGCTGAATTGGTATCAGGTTAAAAAGACTGGTCTTTGAAGAAGAAGAAAGAAGCAAAGACATAGTTAGTACTTTTATACTGGGCCATGATAATGGGCCTCTCCATTACAAACGCAACAAGTCAAGAAGTCCAATGTAGTCAAAGGTACACATTACAATATGATGATGAAGACTTTTGATTAGTTTATCAAAAATAATTGACTTGGTAATTTATCCTTTCAAATCTTGTATCAATGTTGAAGTATGGAATAAAAAATTGTTCTGTACGCCTCTAACATGCTAGCCCAAAAACTAAAAAAGTAAAAATTAGTTAAGTTGTTAAGTGGAGATTGATCCACTAGAGCCTATTTAAGTCCAAAACCAAAGTTTATGTAGTAAATTCTAATTCTAATTCTAGCAATGTCACATGCAAAATATTAAGAAACCCTGTTGGAATTTCGCAGGAGTCACTATTCTACA